CAAGTTAATGCAACTTTCTGAGCCTCAGTTTCCTCAGGTGGAAAGCAGGCAGTTTCTGTGCACCTGCCTCATTGGGGAGCTGCGAGGATTAAACCAGATCACGCAAGGCCCGGGGTAGGCCGTGGCTTTTGTTATTTCTCTCCTTTCTCTAGCCCTTCAGGGCTGGGGATGGATGGGGCAGAGCCTCCAATTTCCTCCTCTGACCGCATCCTGGAGCCCCTCCTTTCCCCTGCCCTTTAGGGCCTCAGCAGTGGCTTTTTGGTGGAGTGCCTGGGTGGGGGGCTGGGCATTGCCTGTGAGGGTCAGGACTCTGGCCAACCAGGAACTGGAGAGCTGAGGGCCCTGGGACAGAGTTCCAGACAAGCCACAGCCCCCTCGTCTTGAGAGGCCTCCCTAATCCTGTGCCAACGTGGGCAATCCTGAGTGAAATGGACACCTGGACAGGAGGAAACTGAGGCTGAGAGGGTTCTGGAAGGGGAGTGTGTTAGGAAGCTGCTGCCAGGCTGACCTGCAGTGGCTGTTGTGTGAGCCAAACAGAAGGTACCACTCGACTGGCCTGATTATGGACAAACACCTCCACTCGGCAGCCAGGCCACACCAAGACAGCGGGCCCCATGACCAAGAGACCCAGCTTCACTTGGGCTTCAACCCCAGGACTTTCTGCCCTTGGACCGCCTCTGCTCTCCACCCACTGGCACTGTCCCTGCTCAGTCAAGGGCATGCACTTTAAATTCCTGCTCTGTCACCCACTTGTGAGGGGAAGTGGCTTCATCTCTCTGAGCTGCAGTGTCTCCCTCTGTAATAATGGGGATAAATAATACCCACCTTCCAACACTGGAGTGAGGGCGGAATATGCTTGACACAGTTCCAGGCACATAGTAGGTCTCAAGAAAGAGTCCCCATGGGAGCCTCGATGGAATTTGCCTGAACTATTTCTAAGGGCCTCTCTCTAGTCCCCCCGCCCCATCTCCAGTCTCTCCCCATGTCAGCACACCTTGAAATCCCCAGGAACCTGTGTTAGGATGTTCCCTTGCTCACAAATCTTCGAAGACTCCCCACTGCCAACGCTCATTCATTCATTCACTCATTCAACAGATATTTGATGGGGCCCTAACTTGGGGAACCAGGGTTTACTGTAGGTGGACGAATATGGAAGTATTCATTGAGGGAGTTCCTATGAGCTGCTCAGGCTCTGTGATGAATGTTTCTGGAAACTGAGTCTGTGTGTGGCTGTGTCACTGACTCAAGCTCACATAGCCAATAAGTGCCTGAGAATCCCTCCCCCACACTGATGTCACGACTTGAAATGCTACTGCCATCATATCCATCCTTTTGGTTAAGGATGGCTGTGCCCATCCCCTCTTTTAAGATGCCAGCACCCCTGGGAGGTGGGAAGACTTCTGGTGCCCAAGAAGGGCTGTGGATGGTTCTTGAATCGTTTCTCTTCCTGGAGGAGCTGGGAGTCAGGAGGAGGCTCAGAACTTCCTCGATCTCTTTCTTGGCCCAGATTCCTGTGGGCCCTTCCCCTCTTGGGGCGTGGCAGTCCCAGCACTGCCTGACTCAAGCTCTCTTCCTGGAGGAGCTGGGAGTCAGGAGGAGGCTCAGAACTTCCTCGATCTCTTTCTTGGCCCGGATTCCTGTGGGCCCTTCCCCTCTTGGGGCGTGGCAGTCCCAGCACTGCCTGACTCAAGCTCCCCGTAAGCCACTGAGGATCATCTGGCAGCCCCAATGACTCACCCGCCAGGGACTAGCCTTGCTGGATGGGACCTGGGCAGGGGTGCAGCCACGTCAGGGTGGCCCTAGGCAGCGGGTGGAAGCCAGGCCTGCTCACCCGGCCTGGGCTCCCTGGATCCCAGGAGCCACTGGGCACTTCCTTACCCTGACCCCAGAGGTGGCCTCGGCAAGCTTTCTAGGGTGACAGAAGCTGACTTCACCCTCACCAGACCTGCTTTCTTTCCTGAAGGAGGGGTGTGGGTGTGGGCTTGGAGTCAGACAGGTCTCATGCAGATGCCAGCTCCGCTGCTGACCAGCTGTGTGAACTCTGCATGCATCCGGGTCCTCATCCACGTGGTGAGGAGTCCACGACCTCAGGTCTGGAGAGGGCTCAGTACAGGGCCTAGCATAGGCCCTATGAGTGTCAGTTATCATTATTGTCATTAGTATTAGTAGCAGCCTGCGTGGCCTCTCAGCCCTAAGGCTGCTGTCTTCCTGAAGGTTCAGGGAGGAGTCTACAGAGGCTAGGGTACCCTGCTCAGTCCAGGAGGCTCAGCCCTCTACAGCAACCCTCACTGCCCCCTGCCTCAGTCTATTCATCTGCAGAATGGGCTGAGGACATTCTCTTGGCCGGAAGCCTAATGGAGAGCTTAGGGAGACCCTGTCCACATCTCTGATCTCTGGGGAGGGACAGTCTGGCAGCCCTGCTCAGGAAGCCCCTCTTCTCCCTTCTCCTGGGGAACTCAGAACCCTCTCCTCCATGAAATCTGTCCCCCTCCCCATCCCCCCAACTTGAGAGTGACTCTTCCTCCCAACCTGGGGTTTTCCCTGACCTCAGACTCTTTTTCTCTTCTAGGAGGAGTGATGGGCAGAACCAGCACTTTCCTCAGGCACTAGACCTGTCACGAGTGGACTTAGTTCCCTCCTGTACTGCTTCACTGTACCCTAAGGTAAGGACCCCCCTCCATACCTACCACCCCAGGTTTGGGGAACCTCCCCCCAGGGCTGGGAGATGCCTAAGAATGAGTATGGGGCTGAGGCAAATGTCCAGGTAGATGCTGCTGGGGTTTAGCCCCCAAGGGGGGTACCACTCCTGACCCCTGGGTGGGCCTTGTACAGTCTTAAAGGTAGAACCAGGGTCTGCAGAACTGTTGGTGGGAAGGGGCTTAGGGCTAATCTGAGCATAACAGCTGGGAATAGACTGGCCGACCAGCTATTCTTCATTATCAACATCCCCATCAGTTTCCTTATCGGTAAACCAGGTACAATCATAGTACCCACTTCACAGGGCCATTGTGAGGATTAAATGAAAGAGCACCGATAGGGCCGTCCATGCACAATATCTGGCAGAGTAAGAGCCCTATAAATGAGGCTATTATTGTTGTTATCACCAAAATCAAATGTTTGCCCAGCACCTGCTTTGTGCCAAACATTGTGCTGGGCACCAAGGGGCCAGAAACTAATCTGACACAGACCCTGCCCTCAAGCAGCCATCATCCAGTAGAGATAAATAACTGAAAAACTTATGCAGAATATCAAATACCAGTAGTAACTGCTAGTATTTATTGAGACTTACTGTGTGCCAGGTGAGTACTTAATGCTTTACATGCAGTATATCATTTCACCCTCGAACTATAAGTACTATGCAATAGCTACTATTATTAGTCCCATTTTACAGATGAAAAAATCAAGGCTCAAAGAGGTTAAGTTGCTTGCCCAAAGTCACACAGATTAGATGTAGACTGCGTGACTAGTGCCTGGCCTTATGTCCTCTTTAATACATGGGGTAATAGGTCCTCACTTTTTTTTTTTTTTTTTTTTTTTTTACCGGTAAGGGAATTGCAACCCTCGGCACAGTGTGGTCCGCACCACGCTCAACCAGTGAGCGCACCGGCCATCCCTGTATAGGATCCGAACCTGCGGCCTCGGCGCTACCAGTGCCGCACTCTCCCGAGTGAGCCACAGGGCCAGACCAGGTCCTCATTTTTGAAGTAGAATTGGCAATTTGTGAAGCATGTCCACAGACATCATGCCTCTTGGTCTTTCCATCAGACTTTGGGTGGTAGGCATTCTCTAATTGAAGATCCAGATGCTCAGAGAGGTGAAGTGGTCTTTCTGAGGTTACACAGCCAGGAAATAGCAGAGGGAGGATCTACCAGGCCCATCCCCCAGATCTCTGGCCTGGAACAAGAGCCAGGCACCTTTCCAAGGCCAGGAGGGCAGAGGGCCAAGGAATGGTGTCCCTGTGTGGGACCACCACCTCCAAGGGGGTCCCAAGTAGGGGTGCTGGTGGCAACAGAAGAGGGTTCCTGAGACCCTTTTCTGCTTTCTCTGCCTGGGCAACAGCCCAAGACTGGGCCACGTGGATCCTTGGGCTTGGCAGGAAGGGAGAGACTCAATGGCAGCCACTCACTCAAGCAGCTGGGTTCATGAAAGAGGCTTCCAGCCCCTCTCCCCCTAAGCATCCGGGGAAGAGGCCTGGGTCCTCTCTGAGGGCTGTGTGCCCTGGGACCATAGCTTCTCCTCCCTGGGCCTCAGTCTTCCCATAGGAAATGAGGGTTGGAGCAGCCCTCCTTCCGGGTCCTGCCTGCTCAGACAGCCTGGGGTTGGTCTTCTCGGATTAGTGCTGAGCCACCTCCCCTCAGACTTCCTGGCCTCCACCCAGTCTAGCTAGAAGCCTCCATTTGTGCCAACACAGCCCAGAAAGCAGGCTCCAAACCACCCCATCCCAACAGCCCACCCCCACCCGAGAATCAAGACACAGTCTGTGGATCATTCTCCTTTGACAGGGGAGGAAGCCAGGGCCCAGAGAGATTGAGTGATTCATCTGGGGTTCCCAGAAAGCCAATAGCGGACTGAGGGAACCCAGGCTGGTGACACATTCTCCATCCTCCTCCCCCAGTACCCCTAACACTGTGCACATTTATAACATAGGTGGAACCAGTCCCAGGGGCAAGTAACCTCCCTGTGCCAATGGACAAATCCCTGCCCCTCTCTGGGCCTCTGTTTCTTCATCTGTACAATAGAGGTGACAGTTCCTTCTCTGTCCACCTTGCCAGCTTGCAGTGTGACAATGATTGTGAAAATACTTTGGAAAGTAGAAATCAGGAAGCTAAACTGTTATCAGCATCATTACATTTCCAGGGCTAGACAGAACACCCAGAAGGGACATTACCTTCTCTTTGGGAAGCCACGTGTGTACAGATACTGAGCTGGTCAGTACCCTCCCACTCTGTCCCCTACAGGGGTTTCTCCACTTGGGGATTCAGAAATCTGCACACACGTACATACACAGCCTACCCACACCTATGTACAGAGACATAGTCTTAGGCACCAAACACATAGACACATTCACATATCTGTAAATGTATTCAGAGACTTGCACATGTACACGTGCATGAGATACACATGTACAAACTACACAAATACACATACCAGGTATTCCCATACACACAGAAACACACTATGTCCATGTGCGCACAGCCACATCCAGTCTTGGAGTCACACACACGTACACATACAGCTACACGCCCATGTGTGCACACCTTCTACTCCACCTGGCACACACACATCTCCAGTGAGGCAAGCAGGTCTCGCCTCCCCTGGGGGCAGTGTGGGAATGGATGTTTCTCTGGCTGCATTTTGATGGGTGCCCGGAAGCGCTCAGGCCTGGAAGTGGCTGCATAAATCAATATTTGCTGTTGTTAATTATTAAAACCAAAGCTACTCCTTGTCTGGAACATACATCTCTGGAGTTCCCACTGGCCAGGTCTGGGAGGCAAGGAGGGAAGAGTACCTTCCTTTCAGAAGCCCTTGGCCCTGGGGGCTGGCTCCCCAGGCCAGAACCTGACCCAGGGCCAGGTCTGGGAGGCAAGGAGGGAAGAGTACCTTCCTTTCAGAAGCCCTTGGCCCTGGGGATGGAGGGTGGTGGGCAGCTGCTGGCAACTTTTTTGGGAAGCTGCAGAGAGGTCGGGAGCTGAGCTATTGAGCAGCCCCGACCCTGCAGGATTCACAACAGCTGGTGTTGACTTGGCCACAGATCAGGAAGCATTTGCTGCTTTCCCAACATCTGTCTAAAGGAGGGGTGGCAAGGCCCCGGCCTTGTCTCTGCTGTACAATAGCTACACCAGGCCAGGGACACACTGCAGCGTCAGCTGGAAGGGCCTGCAGAGGTCTTATATTTTACAGATGGGGGAACTGAGGAAGGGCCTGCGGAGGTCTTACATTTTACAGATGGGGAAACTGAGAGGTGGCAGGGACTCACTCAAGGCTACTCAGCAAGTGGTAGGAAGTCCTGAGCTAGAACCCACAAATCTTGAAGTCTGCTTGAGTCCTTTCTTCCATACCATGAGACCTTGGCAGCCCCTCCGCAGGCTCTGTGGCCGTTTCCTTAAGGGTGGGGGGCAGCTAGGGCGCAGGGAATGTAGGGAACAGGCCAGCCACTGTCAAGCATTCTGAGTGGGTGGTGAGGAGGAGGGAAGGGAGAGACCCCAAAGAGCTGCTCCAGACCTTTCCCTGGATTCCCGGTTCTGCCTTTTCCTAGCTGTGTGTTCTTGGGCAAGCTATTGCAGGCTCTGTGGCCGTTTCCTTCAGGGTGGGGGGCAGCTAGGGCGCAGGGAATGTAGGGAACAGGCCAGCCACTGTCAAGCATTCTGAGTGGGTGGTGAGGAGGAGGGAAGGGAGAGACCCCAAAGAGCTGCTCCAGACCTTTCCCTGGATTCCCGGTTCTGCCTTTTCCTAGCTGTGTGGTCTTGGGCAAGCTATTTCACCTCTTGAAATCAGTTTTCTCATCTGTATAATGGGGATGACATTCGTACCTCCCGGGTTGTGGTGAGATGATGAGACATGCGAAAGGCCCAGCATTAAGTGCTCTAGAAAAGCCCTCTGTCTCCAAGGTAACCCCCTCCTCTTCCTGCCCAGCTTCACAGCCCGTCTCAAGAACCCCGCCCTTGAGGCCCTGAGGAGGGGTACCCAGCATCTGGCAAGCTGGAGAAGGCGGGGTGGGGGACCACTTGGGAGAACCGGGATGGGGTCCCGGGGAGAGCCAGACGCGCCGAAACCTCCCAGCGCTCCAACCAGAGCGCGCAGGCGCAGTGTCCGGGGTCCAAGGGCCCGGCCTCGCCGGGGGTGGGGCCTCCGTGTCCCCGCCCGGGGTCGCCGCAGCCCCGCCCCGCCCCGTCCCCGCGCCGCCCGTACCTGG